CTGAAGCATAACGAACAAGTTCTTACGTGGTGAACGAATTCTTACATAGTGAATAAGTTCTTACATGGTGAACAGTACAAGGGCATTCATCACAGAAACTTTCGGTTTTGATCACGCATTATGAACTATAAACAATCAGGTCAAATATGAATATTCGTTTGATTTTTATACTTGATTTATATGTGGATCCCACATTTCTCCCTTTATTATTATTATTATTTTTATTTTATTTTATTTTTATTTTTTGTTTTTTATATTTATTTCATATGAAACAAAAATCACATGAAAAATAAAAATCAGTACAGGTAGTGAAAGCCATGCAGGGAACCAATCTAGACCCCTCCCCAGTCTCAGTCTTTTTATATACATACAGATCTTTTCCCATTATTTTACTGTCAGTCTTTTTATATACTTATATTTAAGCTGTCTCTTGGAAACAGCATATAATTAGTTGGGTTTTACTTTTTTTTATATCAGTCTAAAAAAACCTTTGTATTAGTGTATTTGCATTTAATGTAATTTCTAATTAGGGCTGAAATCTCACATTCAAAGTATTTATTTCTATTTGACTCACCTGTTCCATGTTATTCTGTTCTCTCTGATTTCCTTTTGGATTGAAATAGTTTATTTTTTATCAGTTCATTAATTTCTTCATCATTGGGTTAGTTACAGATTTAAAAAATTTTTCTTTTAATGGTTACCTTAAATATTATAACATGTATCCTTAATTTATTAAAGTTGCATTTAAATTAGTGCTGTTTTTACTGGACAATGTAAGGATCTTAGAATGCTTTAATTCCATTTGCCCCCTTTTATCCAAGTGTGATTATAGTATATTTTGATTTTATGTTAATAGTCAACATTCATTTGGATTTGTCCACACACATTTATTATTTCATCGCTTTTTGTTTTACTCTTCATTTCTAGCCTTCATCTGGGATGATTTTCCTTCCTCTAAAGGAAAACATTGGTCTTTCCTTTGTGAAGTACACTGTTGATAAATTATCTCAGTTTTTGTTTGGCTGATAATATGTTTATTTCTTCATTTTATATAATGCTGTTTATAGAATTCTAAGTTAGCAGTTATTTTCTTTAAACACTTTTTTGAGTATATCATTCTACTGCTTTTTTCCTATCATGTTGTCTATGGGTCAAAGTCAGCTCTAAGTTCTATTAAATTTTGATATTAATCGGTGGTATTACATCTTTGTATCTTTTTTTCTTATCCAGTTTTTAAAATTTCAATTAAAAATTTACAATTCCTACAATTTTGTATAGTAAAGTAGATATTCTTAAATATGCAATTCAGAAGATTTCAGCAGACATAGTCATCCATGTATTTACCACCCCCATCAAGATATAGATCATTTCTGTCACCCTTAAATTTCCCTTGTGTTCATTTTCAGTCAGTCCCCTATCTCTTCCAAGCAACTACTGTTTTTATTTCTATCACTATAAATTAGTTTTTTGTCTGCTTGGAGT